AGGAAAGGAAAGGAAAGGAAAGGAAAGGAAAGGAAAGGAAAGGAAAGGAAAGGAAAGGAAAGGAAAGGAAAGGAAAGGAAAGGGATGGGACCCTGGCACTCAGTGCTGGGAATTAATCAGAGTTTTTGCCTTTCTCAGTTATTTGGACACAAATATCCCGCTGTGCAGGTGCAGAGAACTTGTCTCAGGAGACACAAATCCTGGGAAAGCCCTTCAGGGACTTGTGCAACACAAGCAAGGGGAGTCAAACACCGAGTTAATGGGAATCTGCACCCACAGAAATAGTGTCCCAAATCAAGCAGAATGCAACAGAGCAATGCCCAGTTTCAGAGCTGTGGAAGCTCATGGATAAAATGAATACAAGGAAAATAATTATTAACATAAAAGCTTCGTTTGCAACTCATATCAAGGAATCCCAGAATGGTTTGGGTTGGAGGGGACCTTAAAGACCATCCAGTTGCAACCCCAGGGACACCTTCCACTAGCCCAGGTTGCTCCAACCTACCCTTGGACACTTCCAGGGATCCAGGGGCAGCCACAGCTTCTCTGGGCAACCTGGGATGGATAAACTTTGCTCTGTATGGAATATAGAAAGATATATTCCACTCACATTACTGTCACCTCAAGAGTATTAAATGACCAGGTATTAAAAACATTCCTGTGCTGAGGCAGAATGAACTGTCAGGGCTTGTTCTGCACCTCCCTGAGAGGAAGAATAAAAGAGGAGTCATTGTCACCCCTGGGATGAGCTACATGCTACCTTCCCTGGAGAAATTCCTAAGCTGCAAGATTTCCTGAAGTTCTTTTTGTCACAACTCCTTTCCTGATGTATTACAGGACTTTTATTGGATGTACTTTCCCCCACAGAGCTCAGCCTCAGCATTTGGCTCCGAGAAGGAAAATTAACAGGTTCTCTCACAAAAACACTGAGGAGCCTTGAGAGGGAGAGCTGGGAATGTTCCCCTGGAGAAGAGAAGGCTCCAGGGAGAGCTGAGAGCCCCTTGCAACGCCTAAAGGGGCTCCAGGAGAGCTGGAGAGGGACTGGGGACAAGGG